ATTTCCTTTTTAACTTCTGTAATGTGTTTTTTTTTATGTTGTACGCTGCCCTGAGTCCTTTGGGAGAAGGGCAGCATATGAATCCAATAAACAAACAAACAAACAAACTTACAAAGTCAGCATATTGCCCCCAATTTAGACTTCTATACTGCTCCATAATGCTTTCTAGCTCTGAACGGTTTACAGAGTTGGCATATTGGCCCCAACAATCTAGTTCCTCATTTTACTGACCTTGGAAAGATGGAAGGCTGAGTCATCCTTGAGCTGGTCAGGATCGAACTGCTGGCAGTGGAATGCAGAGTTAACCTGCAGTACTGCATTGTAACCACTGCACCATCACAGCTCTCTGCTACATGCAATCTTCCCCACCTGGTGCTGTCTATATGGTGAATGCTAAGGTAGGCAATAAGCATAGATCAAAGCTCTGATACAATACATGAGGCGACTCTCTAAGATTAGTGATTTAAATGTGTTGTACAGCTGCTTGTAGTATCAGTGCAAAGTATTTGGATGTCTTTCATGGCTGTTTACATACCAGCTTTACCCCTTGCTAAACAAACACCCTACTGTTGGGTTGTTTTTTCATGGCTTTCATTAATTCTCCAGATTTTTAACATGCAAGATATTCTCTCTTTATCTCTGTTGTTCACATGCATTGGATTTATGCTCTACAAGAAGTGAACGCTGCAATTTGGGGGGAGGGGAATGTAAGGATGCCTTAAGCTTGGTAGGTGCCAACAATTAAAAATAGTTTTTGTCCCCATAACATTAATCTTGAGGAAGATATTCTTTGCAAGCCAGTTGCACACAGCATTCAGGCATTTTCCAAATAAGGAAATGGTAAAATAAAAGTCCAGTAACAGACCAAAAAAGACAATGTTTCAACAATTGGTGTTTTGCTTGTATGTACAACTGTAGCTTTTATTGGGCACTTCAAAGTCTCAATCCATTGGCACTTAAAATAGCTTTATTGCCTGGAAAGAGAAGCTCCTGGCATCAGAAGCCTCTAGGAAGTGTTTGGCTATTATAACTAATGGGTGTCTTTATGCTATTAATACATACTTAGTTCCATTTTCCAGATAGCAACCTAAAATAGAGTTATGCTTAGTGTGAAATTTCAGTGATGGTGTCCTAAGGAAAGTGCCATTAATATTTGAGCAGAAAATGTTTGATAGTGCCTTCTGATTTATTCAGATGAAATCTAGGATTGGGGAAATCAGTTCTTTATTATGGGAATCAATGCTCATGTTTTAAAATACATTAGCACAGTGCCTAGTTGGCTAGAAACAGGAAGTAAGTTCACGTTTCTTCAAAATTTCATGCTTCTTCAAAAATTACCAATATGCTCAATTTTTTTCCTTTCCTCTGTAAAATTAAGCTTGGCCCTCAGTTGGCAAAGTTAGACATAATTAGATTAAATGACCTTGGTGATTCTTCAGAAGCTACCAGAAGGAAATAATTGATTTTATCTCAACATACCTCTCTCTATACAGTATGTGATAGAAACAATGCAGCCTTAATGTCTATGGAGATTCTCATCATTCAGGTCATAATTGTCTCAAAGGCGCTTCCCCCCCTCCAAAAAAAAGACAACTGGACTGTTTTTTGAGGAAGTCGAAGAAGACATTTTGCATCTCATCCATGAAGCTTCATCAGCTGTACTGATGAATGGCACAAGTTCAGTTTCCTTTTGGAAAAAAACACGTTGGAGACATGTAACCTTAAAGCAGTGGTTCTCAACCTTCCCAATGCCGCGACCCTTTAATACAGTTCCTCATGTTGTGGTGACCCCCAACCATAAAATTGGTTTCTCGGTTCCTAAGACCATCGAAAATATGTGTTTTCCAATGGTCTTAGGCAACCCCTGTGAAAGAGGGTCCCGACCCACAGGTTGAGAACCACTGCCTTAAAGGGGGAAAAAATGAGGATTGTCATAAACGCCACTGTTATAAACAAGAATGTCACTCCAACAAGTCCTGCATGTTCCCTAGCACTGGATTGTATTTCTAGGCCAGTGATGGCGAACCTATGGCACACGTGCCAGAAGTGGCACACAGACCCATCTCTCTGGGCACGCCAGCCATCACCTGTTGCTCTTCTGGGTTCCGATGCGCACTGGCCAGCTGGACTTTGTTTGCATAGGAATGCTTGTGTGTGCCGGGAAGCTGAGATTCTGGTTTCTGGCATGCCAGGAAGCTGGTGTTTGCGCATGCATGCGCACCAGAAACCAGAAGACCAGGAAACCGGTGCGCATGCACATGCTGGAAACTGGAAGCTGAGCTTATGTGTGTGCACATGCATACCAGGAAACTGCTCTTCCTTTTTTCAGTGACCCCGCACATGCGTGCCAGGAAACTGCTCTTTCGGTTTCTGGCACTCCCTCATTGCTCATGTGCACTCCCATTTTGGCACTTGATGCCGAAAAGGTTCGCCAACCCAGCTCTAGGCCTTTTCTTTTATGAAGACCACTGTATTGTTATTGAGGGATTTGAAAGCCAGTTCATAAGCAAAAGCCTGTCAAAGAAGTCCTTATAGGCAAATTATATGGCTGCCCCTTTCACAGAAAGTGACTCTGTGGCAATCCAGGTTTATGCATAAAAACATTTTTTTGACATTAATCAAGTTGTCAAGTACAGAAGCAGGTACAGAATAAAGATCAGTTAACCCTAGATAAGTCACATGCTTGGTCCTTCATTAGAACATAAAGCACAGGAAAAATAACACTTGAAAAGATTTCAAGAAGATGACTATATCATCCTCCCTCTCCCACTGTACGGCCCTCTCGAGCTCTGTTTTTGCTGGTAGAGGACTGCAGGAGGCTGTTGCAGAAGAAAACCTGGGCCACCACAGGTGCCCAGATACGAGTGATGTTGAGCTGGCCATGGCCACACACACCCAGCCCCCTCCCAGGTCAAACACAACCTGATGTGGCCCTTAGTAAAATTGAGTTTGACATCTCTGTTTTAGTGAGAATGGGGAGGATATGCTGAATGGGGATTAAACTGATAAGGCAAGTGGTCTGAAAATTACATGAGAAAAACTTTGTCCTTTGCTATGATGGTAGCAATTACCCTCTGCCACTGAATGAAGCAGGTGCATTGGAATGGTAGAAAGAGTTTAACTTCTTTAGAGCCTCACTCTTTATATGGGCTCCTTCGGCCATAGAATCCTGGCAATGGCTTTAGTCCTCTAGAATTCAAAAGTAGTGATTTGGTTGGATGGATCTTGATGTAGGAGCTTTGAAGAGAATTGAATGGCTGATGCAGCTAGTCCTTGATTTACCACAGTTCATTTAGTGACCGTTCAAAGTTACAACAATAGCATAGCACTTATATATCATTTCACAATGCTTTATAGCCCTCTCTAAGCAGTTTACAGAGTCAGCATATTGCCCCCAACAATCTGGGTCTTCATTTTACTGATCTTGAAAGGATGGAAGGCTGAGTCAACCTTGAGGTGGTAAGAATCGAACTGCCAAACTGCAGGCAGCCAGCAGGCAGCAGAAGTAGCCTGCAGTACTGCATTCTAACCACTGAGCTACCATGGCATTGAAAAAAAGTGACTGATGACTGTTTTTCTTACTTGTGACCGTGGCAGCATCCCCGTGATCACATGATCAAAATTAAGACACTTGGCAACTGACTCATATTTATGATGGTTGTGGTATCCCGGGGTTATGTGATCCGCTTTGGTAACCTTCCGACAAGCAAAGTCAACAGGGAAACCAGGTTCACTTAATAACTGTATTAGTAACTTAACAACAGAAGGGATTCACTTAACAACCAAGATAAGAAAAGTTGTAAAATGGGGCAGAATTCATTTAGCAAATGTCTCAATTAGCAACAAAAATGTGGATCTCAATTGTGGTCATAAGTCAAGGACTTCCTATATTTGATATTGTAAGAACAGTGGAGGGTAGAAGATACTTGCATTTTGAAGGTACTTACTATTATTTTAATCAGTGATTTCACCACCACCGCTCTTTTTTTTTTTTTTTTTAGGATTTTATCAAAGAACTTCTAACTCGGATAAGAGGGATGAGGAAGTTGAGCCCTCCTCAAAAGAAGAGTATATAAGTGAACATGGAGCCCTCTTGAGAGAAGTGATCAATAAACTGGAACTATTAAATAGGACACCTGCTAGTTTGGTCGTTATGAGCAATTTTCTCTTTTTTGGTTGAATTCTGACAATTTAAAGAATTCAACCCCTTCTGTTTATGGCAATTTTTTTCAAGTGTGGTTTTATTTTATCACAGATAGCAACATTACGGATGCTGCTTTGACTACCTGCGGATGATCAAGATGGATGGGAATACATCAATTTTAGAAGGACTTTCCTGGGCAGTAATTTTGCCTGATGTATAACTTCTAGGGAAACTACTGTTCCTTTACAACCAGTTTGATCATTAAGTTATACACCAGACTCATGGATGTTAAGGTTCTTGTGGTTGTGTACATAAATTATCAAGTGAGTGTTACTATTGATTCACATCGGTGGAAACGAAATGTGCTCTAAGTAACAATATAAGCTGAAGTTATAACCAATGTGGTGTTGCGGGCAAAGGGTGGGGAGGGGAGGGATGCAGTTTGTTCGATGGGGATGCTGCCACTGTTAAAGCATTGCAACAAATGCCTCTATTCACAAAGCAACACATAAGCAAACTTGGGGTTCAAGGCCTTGATTTTTTTAGGTACTATTACCAATTTTGAGGTTCAGCCAGATATAATCTCTCTTCATGTTATGATCTGCTAGGATTGATCAACCTACTGCTAAAGGATCTGATAGGACAGCAAGAAAAAGGTCAAAAAGTCTTGGAGAGAGACTATCTCCATAGACATCTTGGAGAGAGGGGAAATGGAAATCAACCCACCCTTTCTTATAATAAGAATATCCAGCTACCGCTTCCTATTGTGACATCCAACTTGGTAGTTTGGCTGGCTGATTGGCTAAGTGATCTAGGTTGTAGAGGTGAAAGCTTGTTCCCCAAACTCTTCAGGAAAACATTCTTTGTTCTAATGCCGTGTTTCTCAACTTTAGCAACCTAATTGCATGTTGGCTGAGGAATTCTGGGAGTCCACACATTTTAAAGTTGCCAAGGTTGAGAAACACTGCTGTAATATTTCACAAGCTACCATCTGCTGGTAGATGCTAGTCTGGCATTTTATATCAAGGGTGCTCTGAACATAATTTTATTTTTTAAAAAGAAGAAATACATGTTTGTGGACTTTATGTATACTGGCAAGGTTTTTTAAATGTATTTAATTTTGTAATGTTTTATTAATGACTTTATTTACCAAATATTTACTCAAATAAATGCAACAAATTGAGATGTTGTTATGTATATGTTAACTATTGATAGAAAACGGGAACATTAAGGTGAAAAAGATACTTTTACATTTGGGTAGATAACTAACAACTTCATAAACTATATCCACACTGTTTCCTAAGGAGTTGACACATATATGCCCTTCAACAATTTTCCTCTGCTTTCAGAATTATTTTTAAATGATACCGTTATCTCAGGCAAAACAGGCAAAATTTCATGAAGAGGAGTGTGTTTCCCAAGCACATTGTGCTTTGTTTTAATATTGTGAGTTACATAAAGATCTGTAAAACCTTTCTCCTCCTCATTTGAGCCAACTCATTTCCCATGTAGTTCTCTGAAGTAAATGTGAAAATATGTTTTATTTCACCCCTGCATTTTGTTTGAATCTTATAATTTTGCTGAAATGGTTTTGGAATCACAGTTAATAGAAATAACTGGAGAAAAATGACACAGCAGCATCCTTTAGAATGAAGAATGCTAAGTGGTATTTAAAAGATTACAAAGAATTAGCTATCTAGATCAGTTGCTGAAGTGTTGTTTTGTGACCTTGATTATTTTAATCCTGAAATAATTACAGATGAATTTTAACAGATGCTCCTGACCTATAAATAGTAATTAGCATAATTACACTTTTTCTTACAAATGCTCACTTAAGGTGGGAAGGAAGTGGCAATATTGTGGGTCTATCTCATTTAAAAGGTGAATAAAAATGTTCTTGCTATGTTTAAGTTGATGGGAATAGAAACCATTTGGGAAATGATTTGGCCAATATGAGGTTTTACTCTAACTTCATAATCCTTGCTTTGTTCTGAGATGAGAGGAATTAGAGAAAAACTTTTCCACTTGTTTTTAAAATGATATAACATTATTAATTAAAGAAATTCATTAAAGATCACCATAAAGACCATCAGTTGAATGCAGGGCAGACTATATTCACTTTCACATTGCCATTGTGTGTCACTTAAAAGTGGCTTGAAGTAACTCCATAGTAATCTTCATTTCTGTGGTGTCAGAAGCCCCATGTACAATGAAAACAGTCATAATTCACGAAGACCCAGTGCAGTGCTGGGGTAAGAGGGGAAAAAAATCCCTTCACATCATTCCACATTCAAGGAAAACAAAATGCTACCACTCCCACGCCATATCCTTAATTTATCCTATGTGTGTTGGCTGATAATAAAGACAACTCTGATAATTTGCTTAGAGGCAAATGAGGGATGGGTAGGGTAAAGGTTTCCATGAATGGAAGAACAGATTGTCCCACAAGTTCAGCAGAACTATAGCAGTATAAAGATTTTGCTTTCGCTCCAGATGTAAAACAGAAACAGGAGCAAGCAAATTTGATTCTTGAACAAAACTGATACAAGTGGAATTGCAGATCTTGTTCCAGTACTGCCTCGGATACTCCATAGGGAGGTGACGCCACATCTTCAGTTATGCTAACAAGGTAGGTATCTTTGCTTTTGTTGTCCCCCTCCCATTAAATATGAGGGGGGGAAGAATCTACCATATTTTTCAGAGTATAAGAGGCACCGGAGTATAAGACGCACCAAGATTTTGAAGAGGTAAATTTTTTAAAAAATT